ACCTAAAAGAAGACGAGTGGCACGTCCATGTAAGAACCAAAGAAGTGAAAAGTAAACTTCTCGATAAAGGGAAACACACACACATGGGGATAACGTATCAGTTCCACAAACGTTTTACCAAAGTAGTCACCCTCACAGTCTACGACTTTCCTCTATCCTACTCCGATGATTACTTCCTAGAAATTATGGGTGACATCGGATATGTGAGAACCTTCCAAGACCAACAACTCCCGGGCACCAATGTTTACAAAAGAGTAAGAGAAGTAGAAATAGAGATCCAGAATAAGAAATTTAAAGATATACCCCAACTAATAATATTAAAAGCCCATTAAGGAGATGCAAAAGTACAAGTAGTCACGCCAGGCCAACCTTCTCCATGCTTTAGATGTGAGAAGTTTGGCCACTCATGAAGAGAGTGTCCTCTCCGGGCCCCTGAAAAAGAAGACAGCTCCAATAGTCCCAACAGTCCCACCAACCACAGTAAAGACAGTACAAGACAGTAAGCCAACAGTTCCAGGAAGTAAACCACCAGTAACCCAGTCTCCGCCAGTCGAACCAAAAGCTCCAAAATAAGAAGAGAGGGAGAAGCTAATTCCTCAACACCAGAAAAATCAAATGAAAAGAAGTTCACAAAACCCAGAATCCCATCAATATAGATCTACGAAACCAGTTTCAACATCACAGAATGCAGCTACGATCCTTCGACATCAACCCCAAACGACATCTACGACGCCGGAGATCTATTCGATTGTCTCATGAAATAATATATAACACGTGATTGTCTGCGATATCACTTCGGTGGAAGCGGACGTAAAATACAACTACTCAACAACAACAATTACATACCTCTAAGCTCTGTCAGTGGTACCCCACCACTAGAAATGTCTGTCAGTGTTTTTGTAATACCTGAAGATGTGCGGTACATTGCTGTACGATTTTCATGTAGTACACTTTTGAGCTAATCTAACCTAGTTGGGGACATGGCATTTTGAGCGTGGAATACCACACCCACCGCCAGATACCCGCCAGACTTACATTCTGATGATACCAATTACACATGCATTGATACCATCCATATATATGAGAAAATTGGTACACTTTTCAGCTAGGTTGACCCCCTGGGCTCCCGCTCTATAACTACTCCTACACTTTTGTAGTGCGTGTTCTTGGCTTTGATAACAGGTCAAAATCAAATTTGGTGGGAACTATAGTTGAATTTTTAAAAATGTATTATTGTTTGTATCAATATGTATCCTATCAATGTATTACTTGTATGTACATGTACACGTTTTCTGTGCAATGTTTGTAATATGTTTAAATGTACATTTACCCGTATGCCTGCTGTCCTTGGTGGACGTACCATATTGATACAATTAACATATTTAGTTATCTTTTCTTATCTTATGTGGGGGATGGGTCGTCAGCTTTAATACATCGACACGACACCCAGTTGCCTTCCCCCTATAACTCCGCTCGAACTGTTTCGAATATAATCATTATATTTGTATGTTTAATAGCTTTATTTAACGTCCGCTTCCACCGAAGTGATATCGCAGACAAGTCGTTATAATTATTATTGTTCCCGTCAGTTTATTAGCAATATCCTATTGGTTCATTTATTGATCCGAATTTTGAATTCTCGTAATAACTTTCCCAAAAGATTCTTGATTATTTTAACAACGATGTTTCTGAGCAGTGGCGTGCAGCAGACAGAGACAGAGGAGGCGTGATTCCAGGCATCCATTTCTGTCAATCAAAGAGAGTAATTAAAATTATGTTTTTTTTGTTTTTTTTAATTTGTAAGTACCATCGCTGTTACCACACGAATACCAAAATAAAATGGGACTTTCTCATCGTAAGACGTTCTTTAGTCATAGAAACTCTGAATAACCTTTCAGAGCCCTATTTGCTACACTATATATATACAGTTCGAAAAATCCCAAATCTTAAATATCAACTAATTGATATGCGACATAGTTGATTTTCATTTTAGTTTGCTTTGTTACTGAAACATGATTTTCGCATTGTCTCCGCCCAAGCAATTCCTAAGGTTGCAACGTATACAATTGCTTTCGGAATGAGGCCGCGACGAAGACTCTGGGGTAGTCCTGGATCTGACTTTGGTTCTGTAGGAAAGTTTGAGTAGGGATAATTTCTTTGAAGAAATGTTTAGTAGGTAGCTTAGTCAGTATTTTGGACTTGGGTGGACCACAGGAATCTGACCTTCTATCCGTATATATATGCATACACCATGTCCAACCAGACAATATATAATAAAAAAGAACAGGAATGCAATGCCTGTTGAAGAATCGATTTTACCTGCTCTCGCTTCGGCTCGTTTTTTTTCTCAACAATTCGTAATGTCAGGCAATCAAACCTCTGTCGATTCACTCAGATATGTTTTCTTCAATCTAGTCGTTTTGATTTGCATCAATACTCCCACAAATCGATATCATAGCCACTTGTTTCCAATATTTACATTATTTTCGTCCATTTCAATTTTGTCACTGCCGCCATGCGCTGACGTCACACAAAATCAATCCGCAGTGACTAGACCATTGAAACAAGTGCCAAAAATATTTTTAGTTTTTCTCTCCCTTTCCATTTTCCCCCTTTTTCATGGCGATTTTTGTTGACTTTTGGGTGCAGTATCGAAAAAGAGGGTTTGCATATACATTTTCTGCCAGGTTTTGGTGAATATTCATCATTTTGAGGCGGAAGTACACAAGACTTCAGAGGTTGGTTAGGTTTTTGTGTGACGTCAGCGCATGGCGGCAGTGACAAAATATACTTATTAAAACATTCATTAATTTTTCACGAAAACTCAATATCCAATTTTTAAGTGACAACACCAAAAAAAACTCTAAAATGTAAAAAAAAAATAACACTTCAAAATTAATTACATTGGTATAACAATAAAAAATTCGTAGACAGCATTCAAAAGGGATTTTTACAAGTTCCATCAGAGTTTTTGATAATCATACAATTACAAAATGAACAGCAGGATAACCCATTGGCTTTGAAAATACAGAAAGACTTTGCATATAATGCCTCACAGACACAAGCACCAATAAAGTCATTGGGATACTTTTGAACATTGAATTGCGGAGACAGACCATTTTTATACGCCAACATTTTCATGTGGACGTATATTGTCGTCGCCCCTGTTCGTCCGGACGTTGGTACGTCCGTCCACAATTGATTGTGGACACCCTACAGGTCACAATTTTTATCCGATTTAAACGAAACTTGAAATATAGGTTTAGAGAGAGAGAGAGAGAAATGGGGTTTAACGTCCACTCGACACAAACTAGGTCATTTCGGTACTAACATATGGTTTAATTTTATTTCAATAATTCGCTTGCGCGTAGGGGTCTTTAGCAGTGGGAGGAAACCGGAGGACCCGGAGAAAACCCACGAGGTTGGACAGGCGACCCTACTCCTTGTCACGTACAACCGGGGATTCGAAACCACACCAGTCGACTCAATGACAGACTTTATGATACAGCGCGCGCACACTAACCATTCAGCCATCCAACCCCCCGAAATATAGGTTTATATCCCTAAGATCTCGGTTCCTTTCGATATTGGCATGCATCGGACCTTAATTTCCTGAATTACGGCCCTTGATTGTACGAAAAATCCCCTTTTTTTTTTTAGCTTGTAGACCCTTTAGAGGTAATAATTTTTTTATCCGATTTAAAAAAAAAACATTGAATATATCACCGTTACACCCTAAGGATAGTTGAGTTCGAATTTCGTAAAAAATCGGACCAAAACTGACAGACAAAATGGCCGCCCCTCGTACTCAAAAAGCGTAAAAATATGGTATATCAAGGTTAAGGTGGACTCTCTGGAGGTCACAATTTTCTTCTGATTTTGATGAAACTTGAAATGTAAGTTTATAACCCAAAGATCTCTGTTCCTTTCGATATTCGCGCATATCGGGCCGTAACTTCCTGAATTATGGACCCTGACTACGAAAAATCGCGTTTTTAGCATTTTGTCCCTGTAGAGATCATAATTTTTATCCGATTTAAAAAAAAAACGTTTGAATATATCACCTTTACACCCTAAGGGTGGTTGGGTTCGAATTTCGTAAAAATCGGACCAAAACTGACCGACAAATGGCCGCCCCTCGTAGCCAAATAACGTAAAAATATAGGCCCTATATCAATGTTGTGGACCCTCTAGATGTCACAATTTTCTTCTGATTTAGATGAAACTTGAAATGTACGTTTATAACACAAAGACCTTGCATATGGTTCCTGTTGATATTCGCGCATATAGGATCGTAACTTCCTGGATTATGACCCCTGATTGTACGAAAAATCGCGTTTTTAGCTACAGGTCCCTCTAGAGATCACAATTATTACCCGATTTAAAAAAAATGTTCAATTATATCACCGTTACACCCTAATTTTGGCTGAGTTAGGGACTACACCAAACCACTAATGCATGCGGCACTCTGATGATTACCCTTTGCTCCAATGTATGCCCCCCCCACCCCTCGACAAAATCCTGGATCCGGGCCTGATCTAGTTTTCAAAACTTTTATTATGTCGGTAAAATGATATTTTAAACCCTTCTTATGCTACAAAAATCACCGTATTTATTACCTGTGACTATGAGAACAACACGCAACCGCATTTATTAATCACATTTACCGGCATGTATAAATGAACTATTTCTAGCATATTTATTACGCCGGGTTGAAGAAAGCTGGCCGCAAACTCCAAATCGACAGCCGCAAAATAAAACAGGTCATGAACTTGTTAACGGATTCGGGAATAACTTCATTATAATATGTATAGCCTTGTAGCATCGTTTTCTTCTTCCGCGAACCTGCACCCAGACGGCCTAATTACCTGATAACGGTCAATCACTCGTCAAGTATGTCGAAACAGTTAAACTTACAATATATTGGTTGTTGATTTTTATTGAGTTTAACGCCTATTAACTGTTGTAGTTTCAATTCCATTGTCAAAACTTAATGGACTAGCTTAAGCGTATGAATACGTTCACTAGCAAATGACATCATCCCTCTCCAACTCATTCCCGCATCAGCTCAAGACACATTCTCTTTGCAGCGAAGCTGGTAGTAAGAAGACATCCTCCACTTTGGTGAGAATTAGCTTAATTTCTGAATTTTAATTTATTTGTTTGTTATTGCTTTATTTGTTAATATTTGTGGCAATTTTTTCACGAAATTTAAGTTAGGTCTGTTTTTGTTAGCGTAATTTTCGGACTTGAAGTTGAAATATTCGTGTGTTATTCTCTAAAGCAGCACACGAGCCAAGCCTTTCATTCAACACAACCCATTACAGGGCAGACAGATGACTAATACTCTCGCTCTGTTCATTATCTACGTTGAGTGCGTTAAAAGATACATTACTACTATCTCCATTTCATAGTATTTTATTTGGCGAATATGTTGAATCTTTTTTATTGTCATTCAGGAAGGCTTACATTTATTAAATTTCCTAATTCAAATTATTCAAATCGATGCGCCTTTTTAGCGGTAAAATTTGAATTATGATGCTAACCCCGATGAATATTATATCGCCAAAGCATCCGTTACACTCACTGGACATAACTATGTGTAAATTTTGCCTCAAATCCAAAAAGCTTTTCCCAGTTAATACCGGTAAATGTTGCTTAAAAGTTATTCCCCCGGGAGGTATTGAATAATTGCATGCAGGAGTTCATAATTGCACGGCAGAGTATTGTTTTAATCGGAGAAATAAGTCAGAAAGTCAGTATCTATATTTCTATGGTTAAACCTCCATGCCCTAAATATAGAATATTAAGTATTTTGTAATATTAAAACAAATTTTGTAATATAGACATTAAATACAAAATGTAAGTTTTATTTGTATTCAAAAATCTATGTATTATTACATTAATACACCTAATACATAAAATTACAGTAGTCTATTTTTTATTAAAAACCAACCAAAGCAGCGACATAAGATAGTTATACTATACAGATAATATTTCATGTATATCCGTAAATGTGGCAGCATTTAATCTTGAATGTGATAAACTTTTTTGATTTCACATGGATGTTTGTTATTTTTGACACAATTGATCTTATATTAAATTATTTTCTGAAACAATTTTTAAATAACCCAGACCAGCTGTTATTTTTTACTTTACGTATTTTGGTTAAAAAATGTATTGTATACCAAGTCTAACTTATTTCTGTACATGTTGTCCTGAGGCTATTTTTAATATGAAGGACCCAAATCTTGACATGTTTATTGCTCTTCTGTGACCAAGGAAGGCTATAAATTGAACCTGTGAAATGAACATAGATTTTACTTGATTGTCCATTGATGTAGTTTCTATATTGTGCCTGCTTTCATTCAGAATCTATGGCATTGTCTGACAATATATAATGATGACTCACTGGGGACTCATTCACAGGAAGTAGACTTTAATCTGTTAGCGTCAGCCATAACCAGGACTCCAGTGGAAACCCCAATCACAATCAATAACTGGGATGGAGATAACTAATGTTATGAATTCCAACTGTCTCTTAGGAAATGTTTTTATTCATAAGCTCACTTTATGTATATATGGGACATAATTTATTTATAAGCTGCCATGTTAATGGTAACATTTTTTCTCTTGATATGCAATAAATTATGTATCAAACATTTTTATCTTCAAATTGCAAAATATATTTGTTAATTGGAATAAAATGGAAATAAAATATGACTTGGATTGGTGATGTCTCTTTGTTTTTTGTTTTTCTGACAAAGTGTTCACAGCACTTGACTAGCATGACTGATCTGTGATTTTCTAATGTCTAATCCATTCTGTTGCTAATTAACAAACATTTTGTTTACCTCACAGATCAACTAATTCAGGTGTTTATTATATTGTTTCTTAGCAACAAGTCGTGCCAAGGCCTCAGTGTATTGGTACGTTCATCAGAGTTAACTAAGTTTCACTGTTTAGTGACTTTCATACCCAGGAAACATGCGTGAAATTGTTCATATGCAAGCTGGCCAATGTGGCAACCAAATTGGAGCGAAGGTAGGTAGAACTTATTTGTTTTCATAAAATCATATTTTGATTTCTTGTTCAGGGTTGTTGTTTTATATAAAAAGCAACATCAAAAGTTTCTTGTATAAATGAATTTAACATACAAAATAAATTGTTTTAACAAGGGTCTCCAAACTTTATCTTGAATTAATTTAATAGAATTGATTATCTAGATTAACATTTGTTAGGTGCGCATATAAAGCATGTTATTAATGTTTTGTTTGAACAGTTCTGGGAAGTTATTTCTGATGAACATGGTATCGACCCAACTGGAACCTACCATGGTGATTCTGATCTCCAATTGGAAAGAATCAATGTCTACTACAATGAAGCTACAGGTTTGTATTGATATTATTAAATGTAGATAAATACTGCGACAATAGAAATTTATTGATAATATATTACCAGTAAGTGGCAGGATGTGACGCCTAGCAACACAGTCTGACAAACATTCTTTTGTAAAGATGTAGTAAATTTACTTGTTTACTGTCTACAATTAAATTAGGTCTTATTTCCATTCAGAATTAAATTGACTAGGATACCAATGCTTTTTTATGCATTACATCCTTGTATTTACACCATATTTGTTGGCACCTTATTTGTTCCCAATTAACATAAGGCTTTTAACGGGAGCTTAGAAAATTGAATACCAAACAACATTCTTATTTCTCAAATGTATGCCTGTAGCCATATACAGTAATTCTTATTGTTATTGTTAGATACATGTAGTTATTTTAACTTTAAAATGACCTCATTCTTTATTTTCTAAGGAGGTAAATATGTACCCCGAGCTGTTCTGGTGGATCTCGAGCCAGGTACCATGGACTCTGTAAGGTCTGGACCTTTTGGTCAAATCTTTCGTCCAGATAACTTTGTCTTTGGACAGAGCGGAGCTGGTAATAACTGGGCCAAAGGTCACTACACAGAAGGAGCTGAATTAGTTGACTCAGTCTTAGATGTTGTGCGAAAAGAGGCTGAAAATTGTGATTGTCTTCAAGGCTTCCAGCTTACCCATTCCCTTGGTGGAGGAACAGGTTCCGGAATGGGAACTCTTCTCATCAGTAAAATCCGAGAAGAATATCCAGATAGAATCATGAACACATTCTCTGTTGTACCATCCCCAAAAGTAAGTCGATTCTAAAGAAAGTTTTAAAAGAATAAGATTTTTGCAACAGTAACTTTTGACCTAATGTCTGAATAATATAGGCTTACTATAACATAACTATCAATTCTGAATGTCATACTCATATCAAACTATAGTTAATTATTCTGTATTTCTATATTACCAGTTTCTTTAGTCAATTCACATCTTTTGTAATTTGCTTTGACCGTTGTATAATTTCAGGTATCTGATACAGTTGTAGAACCATACAATGCTACTCTGTCAGTACATCAACTTGTAGAAAACACAGATGAAACTTACTGTATTGACAATGAAGCTTTATATGATATTTGTTTCCGTACCTTAAAACTTACTACACCAACTTATGGTGACTTGAATCACTTGGTGTCAGCTACCATGTCTGGTGTGACAACTTGTCTTAGATTCCCTGGTCAACTTAATGCTGATCTACGTAAACTAGCTGTCAACATGGTACCCTTCCCTCGTCTACATTTCTTTATGCCTGGTTTTGCTCCTCTCACATCTCGAGGTAGTCAACAATACCGAGCTCTTACAGTACCTGAACTTACTCAACAAATGTTTGATTCCAAGAACATGATGGCGGCCTGTGATCCACGTCATGGAAGATATTTGACAGTTGCTGCTATGTTCCGAGGTCGTATGTCCATGAAGGAAGTTGATGAACAGATGTTGAATGTTCAGAATAAAAACAGCAGTTACTTTGTTGAATGGATCCCCAACAACGTAAAGACTGCCGTTTGTGACATTCCACCAAGAGGTCTTAAAATGTCTGCAACCTTCATTGGTAACAGTACAGCCATTCAAGAATTGTTTAAGAGAATATCAGAACAATTTACTGCTATGTTCAGAAGAAAGGCTTTCCTCCATTGGTATACTGGTGAAGGTATGGATGAGATGGAATTTACAGAAGCTGAATCCAACATGAATGATCTGGTATCTGAATATCAACAATACCAAGATGCTACAGCTGAAGAGGAGGGTGAATTCGATGAAGATGAGGGAGAGGCTGATGAACCCTTATAAAATAGCCAACATTTATGGAATTGAAGCTTTATTAAGAAACATTTCACAAACCAATGGCTTAATACTATTTATTATGGTGGCAATCCTCCATATTGTTGGTTACTCTTGTTATTGAAGTTAAAAAAGAACAAACTAGTGACACTTAAAAGCTGAAGATAAAACGTGCAATATATTTCTTTGGCAATTTTTATAAAAAGTACATCTGCATACTATGTCATACTTACATTTTTAATGCTTATATTTATTAAAGCTCTACTTGCAAAATTTTATGTCTTTTGACCAAATCTCTTTACTAAAAAGAATGAAAAAAATGTTGTCCAATGAGCTTGTGGTCTTTCTACATTTTCCCATTTCTAATGATATGGGGGAAATTTTCCTTGGACAGCAGCTCTAAAGCTTACACTTTCTCGTTTCTCTTACATGCATGCCAATGTGTAAATGGGACCTTGGGGTTTTTGTACCATCTAAACAACATGATGCTGTTTCTTGCCAGACCCTCTAACCTGCACCACTGACATGGGAAAGCGATTATCCAGAGAAACCTTTTGGATTAAATGGGGTTCTGATCCAACTAAAATGTTCTTGGGTGTTAAAGCTGCCAATCGTTATTTGAAAATTTACTAGGACAGCAGCTCTAAAGCTTACACTTATGCGTTTCTCTTACATGCATGCCAATGTGTAAATGGGACCTTGGGGTTTTTATACGCCCACATTGAAATGTGGTCGTATATTGTCGTCGCCCCCGTCCGTCCGTCCGGCGTCCACAATTCCTATTGATTTTCAACGATTTCCGATATGGCCCTTGATCACTTTGCAAAATCTTGTGATGCGCTAAAGGCTAAAGTTATAATCCGATTGACTTCAGATTGATACAGAGTTTAAGATCTTGAGACGAACAAGTATA